GGGTCTCGTCGTTCATGGGTCGATTTACTAGTGCTGTTTTTGGCGAGAAGTTACGAGTCGCCGCAAATTCAAGTAGAAAGAAGTTACTTCCCCCCCCCCCCCTTCCAACTTAATCAACGTCGGTTGAATAATTAAATAGCGTTTTGTTTATCTTTCAAGATAACGAGCAGACAGCGGGGGTGGAGGACAGGTCAGAGCAGAAGGCTATATCAGCGCCAAAGATGATAACGCATGGTTAGCCTATAGATTTACTACATTCATCCCAACCCCAACTTCATTTAAATCAGTGAGATCGAAAACTCACCAACTCGAACAAATTTAAATAATCAAGACACTTACAAAATCGCACATAAAACACGTTCACAGGGGCTGATCCAGAAATTTGGCAACACAGGCTTTCCTCCAGTTANCCCATGGCATCAAGTATATTTTGAAAGCTCATGCATACCCTCCTAATAGAACAACATTTTCATCTTGCAGGTTTAATACGCAAGCCTTTAATCATGATCAAAAGTAGGGGTAAGGACCATTGAGACCATTCACCTCTTACATAGCCTAGGGAGGGGGCATTGTCCTGGAAATTTTTGAAGGGAGGGGGGTGGGGAGCAGGACCGGCCTACAAATTCCTAATACATCTTTTATAGGTATAAAATATATATTTATACCTATAATATATGTAGAATATAGCGCAAACTAATATAATCTTTATACCTATAATATAGGTAGATTATAGGTATAAAATAGGTATATATATTTATAATATAAGTATAAAACATCTATAAAATATGTATATATATGTATATTATGAGTATAATATAGGGGAGTTGTGCTACTAGGGTAGTGCTGTTTTTGGCGAGAAGTTACGAGTCGCCGCAAATTCAAGTAGAAAGAAGTTACTTCCCCCCCCCCATCTTCCAACTTAATCAACGTCGGTTGAATAATTAAATAGCGTTTTGTTTATCTTTCAAGATAACGAGCAGACAGCGGGGGTGGAGGACAGGTCAGAGCAGAAGGCTATATCAGCGCCAAAGACGATAACGCATGGTTAGCCTATAGGTTTACTACATTCATTCCAATCCCAACTACATTTAAATCAGTGAGATCGAAAACACACCAACTCGAAAAAATTTAAATAATCGAGACACTTCTGCCGTGATAGCGAAGAGAGCCGCAAGTGCAAAATTTTCGAAATCGAGTTTTCTTCAAAATTCGTCTAAACTCTTTTAGATGAAATTACTGAGACAGCTAAAACAGCAAAATTCATCCTAATTTAATGAAAACAAGACGTATGTAAAAGTTGTAAGTGCACAAAAAATGACACAGTTTTTTTTTCAAGAGAGCCGTAGATGCATGAGAGCCAATGAGAACAGTGCGTTCCAGTAAAGTGCCGCCCTCTTCTGCCAATTTCTAACCTGAAATTGTGTTTGTTGTGCGTCCAAAACGCAACCACGAAAGTATGCAGAAGATAGCACTTACGGCTGTCTTGCCTAACAATAACCTAGCATGAAAATGGAAAATACCCTTTTTATGTAATGGAAATAAAATCAGTCGATATTTAATCATCCATACGATTTCTTGGAGTCTTACGGGCGGTTAGTGGCAATTTGACAAAGAACGGAGGCTTCTTTCAATAAAATGATCTTGCCAGAAGCTTCTGAGCCCGTTTTCTCAAAACTTCATTTTTGCACTTACGGCTCTCTTCGCTATCACGGCAGACTTACAAAATCGCACAACTAAAACTCGTTCACAGGGGCGGATCCAGAAATTTGGCAACACAGGATTTCCTCCAGTTAAACCTATGCTAAATAATCGATTCTTGTCGGGGCATCTGGCCCCTTCAAGAATCGATACATTTCCATAGGTTCTAACGGAGAGGCAACAATGTTGCCAATTTTCTGGATCCACCAATGCACGTTCACTTTTTGCGCGGGCAACAAGGCTCGCCGCCGAGAATAAGAGTCAAGTCAAAGGTGGCATTTTGTTTACAAGCGGGAGATAGCCTGATTGAGCAACTTGTTTTTTTAGGCCCCGCGCAGTCGAGACCTCGGCCGGCGTCGCGGCGTCCTGGGAGCGTCGCGACGCCGCCGCCGCGCCGTGCGTGGACTTAATCCCGGTCCGAGCGCAATGCGTCCCTGCGTCATCGCCACGTGTGAGCACTCACGTGCAGCAGAAATCGCGAAAAGGATGCACATGTCACACGCCGGGAAACACCGATGCACTGCCGAGCCGAGGAAAAACGACGTATGAGCCTGCAGGCGCACTGGAAAAAAAACACATTGGATCTAGAGTCCAGACTCATGAAAACATTGACAAGAAAAAGGACTCTTGATTCAATCAGATTTAAGCTTAAATCAAAAGGAAATCCGCTCAAATTAAGAGGCTGGCTTCTTTATTTAAGCTTAAATCTGATCGAATCAAGAGTATTTTATCTTGTCGATGTTTTTAAGAGTCTGGACTCTAGATCCAATGTGTTTTTTTCCAGTGCGTTGCCAAATTTCCTTTCATAAATCACGAGTTTTTGGGGAAAGTTGTAAACGTTTTTCCTCCAATTTTTCAGATAATCTCTCTCGCCCTTTGATTTAAAACATGAGAAAATGTCAAGGAAAAACACTCATAACCTTCCTAAAAAATCATTGGTTTGCAACTCCTTAAGGCTCACACGGCGTTTTTCCTTGGTACGTCAGTATACTATTTCTAGGACGACATCAATGGCCAAAGTGAGGAACCACGTATATCCGTTTGTGACGTTGTCTATTCTTGTTATACTTTGCCGCTTCTTTGGAAAACTGGTCAACGTATTTTCTTGAAAATTTCCTTTAATTTCCCTCTCGGTTAGCTGAATATGTTGGAAAAATCTCAGGCTATGAAAATGTGTGTTATCGCCTAATTAAACCAAATAAAAGCGGACATTCTGAAACATTGCAATGGAGATACGTGGTTCCGCAATTTTAGACGTCGATATCTTTGAAAACTTCTCGCGCGTAGGGCTCATTGCGGACAAAACTAGGGGCACCGCATAATGTTTCTTGCAAAAGTTTACACGGAGTGCTCGGTTGCATCAACATTCCCTGAGCTGATCATGAGGACTCTGTTGTTTATTTACTTTTTTTAAGCGTGCCAGTACAGTAGGGCTCGCTTTTTTTTAGCAATTCTACAAATTCCGAAGTATTTTAAGCTTAAAAAGCGAAGATAACGCCACTGAATCATATTACAAAGACGCATTGTCAGTTTCGAAGAAGAGCAATGAAAATGATGTCAGTTAATAACAATGATTTGCAGTTATTTTGTTTACAGTCCGTCGCGGTGATGTGCGCAGCGCGCAGCGGGTATGGACTGCATTCGATACGCAGTGTCGTTAAACGAGAGGAATGTCCCATTATTCGTTCTATTGTTTTTTCTATTTTTTGAGCCGCTTAGAGTCTCAATGCATGCATGCAAAAATGGTCGTACTCTGCTCAATTCTAACTCTCAATTTCGTTTAACTGTTTCATCGATTATTAATTACCGATTAATCGATAATAAGCCTGTTGCAAACTTTGGCCAGAGCAGCATAGAGGAGTTGTTACTTGTAGAGCATGGTTCAAAAATAACGATGAGCGCATCTGACAAGTCTGATATACTATACTCCCAACTTCGCAATTTGCGTGAGAAATGTGCATTTTTTTTAAGCTTCCCGCTTTAAAAACAATGCTACGGCACAGGTGAACGTTTCGTAAGAGGAGTCGTTCCATCCAACCCTTCCGCACTAGGATGCTACGCAATATTCATATTCAACACGACGGACGTCAAGCCGCCAAAACACGCACGAGACGAGATTTTATAGACCGGCGTGTTTATATTCACATTTTCCTTGCGTTAATGAAGAACAAGGTGCTTCCTCACGCATTGGAAAAAAAACACATTGGATCGAGAGTCCAGACTCTTAAAAACATTGACAAGAAAAAGGACTCTTGATTCAATCAGATTTAAGCTTGAATCAAACGGAAATCCGCTCAAATTAAGAGGATTGATTCTTGATTTAAGCTTAAATCTGATTGAGTCAAGAGTATTTTTTCTTGTCGATGTTTTTAAGAGTCTGGACTCTAGATCCAATATGTTTTTTTTTTTTTTTTTTTTTTTTTTTTTTTTTTTTCCAGTGCGGCTTGCGCGCGGGAGCGTCAGCCATATTGAATATTGCGTAGCGCCCTAGAAAAAACCACTTAACTTTCCTCTTGTGAATTTGGGACTGTATTTCAGACTTGCCCGATGGGCTTATCGTGATTTTTGACACATTTTCTCTACGAGACAACTTTTCTTTTTGTTCGAGTTGAAGTTTGCAACAGACTCATTAATAACTTCCCCGTTTCCAGGTCAAATGCCAAAAAATCAGTATAAAACCTTTCATCATTACAGATCGAGGCCCAAAAGTGCTGATAATTTACGTAAAAAAAGGATTTCAAGAATAAGTACGACGGTGGTGCCTAAAAATGCCTCGTCGCCTTTGTCACAAATGGTGTCAGGGCTGTGAAGCTTAGGTTTATGACATTGTTTTCTTTTTTTTTAACCGGGAGGTGCTATAACTTTTTGAGGAACATTTTAGGTGTCCTTAAAATCTTCGAGGTTTTTTTAAACAGTTTTAAATTGTTAACCATTTCGATACCGTTGCTTTTTCCGTTTACAACCACTTATTTTGGAGAGCCTTGCTTGCCGCTCAGAACAGCAAGCGTTGCTGCCAGAAGTAGAAAAGCCAAAACGCCTTCATAGTCTCGTATATGCAACACGAACAACCATCATGCACGAATATTTGTATCAAAAGTTTTCACGGCGTTGGGGTCGCGTCACCCGGCGAGCAAGTGGTGAGAGTTAATTTTGATGCATTTTATGGAGAATCCAATGTTCGGGTCGGATACCCGTGACTTAGAACTTAAAATGCGCCAGGATTTTTTCTTGCTGTGTGAGAAATGATAAATGTTGGACACCTGAGTGTAAAAATTAATGGAGACAAGATCATATGTGCTTACCAGAGGTAGCTTGGCCTAAGAGAGGAGTTTTCTCAGTGTTCGACTTTTTTATTCTCGATGTCCATCCAGTTTTGGGGTGCATCCACTTTATCCACAAATCCTCGTCCCAGGAACACTGGAGTTCAACTTCCACTAAAACTTGTCGGTCCTTAAAAGTATCTTTTTTTAGACTTAGGAAACTACACCGCGATTTAAAGTTAAAACTAGCGAAGGTGGAACTATATTATTACACACAATTTGAACACAATTTTCGTATTTTAGCACATCACAGACGTTTCGAATGGTTTCGAGCTTTAAATTGAATATGTTTACTGGTTAAGATCGCACGACAGTATTGGATTGAATTTAATCACTGCAGAGCACTTTTCAGTCCACGATTCAGTAACAACTGACTATCTCTCTATGAAACGACGCTATCTGATCTCTGGACTTTGTGCCTTTTTTTTTAATGAGGTTTGCACTTCAACCTGCCTCACACAGCGATTCGCTCCATTCATCTATGCTTTACTATACATTTTTATGAAACGATATTTCAATATCTATCGTCGTAACTGATGTTTGGGTCGGTTATTTTACTAAGATACTTCAGTTGATGAACCAAAAACTGTTCAGGAATAGACACTTTGCCGGCGTTGAAAACATGTTGAGCTATCGTCGCGTAATAAAGTCCACTTCCAAACTAATTAAGCTTGATATAAACGCGTAGAGCGGGAATAAACAGTTGTAGGCCAGAATCTTGCTCTGTGGTTTATCCAAAAATTTTGAAAACTAACTTTTAGTCCTTCTTAGAGGACGGAGGTCTAATATTCTACTATCTAGAACTAATTTTTTCTTCTTTAATTTCCTCCGTTCATGAGAGGTGGAAAGGCACTTCACCGCAAAATCAGACGATTGGTTCAGAGATTGATGTTACCCGAAAGTATACGATTTTTAAATAAACGTTCGGATGGAAATTCGAAATTCAGCGATGATTTTTGGTTATACACGCGGTATTTGATGGTCAGGTAGATCACGAAAAAAATACGCGCAGTCACAAAATCAGTTAGTCACAAAATCAGATAATCGCGGATAATTTCAACAGCACTCAGCAAAAATAAATTATTGCACTCTTAAAAAAATTATGATGCAACACGGATCTCGCACAGTGATTTTCGAACGAGAGTGTTTTTTTATTCAACGGTGTGATAATTCGTTGAGATTAATTTTTCAAGGGAGAGAACGCGCACTCGAAATTATTTTGGAAACACGATGATTCAGATTGCTCGAAAATCCAACACTCATCGGACCGACGCAACGGGCCGTTACCGCGCGAAGCGTCGAGGCAGACTGGTAAAAATTAGCGGCGATGCGTTAACAGACTGATCCGGAGCTGGTTTTCTGGTCGACCGCACAGTGGACCGAGTCAATCAGGAAGGTCGGACATAGAATGGACCACTAGATAAGGTACGAATTTTAGCATTCTGATACATGTTTCTTGACCAAAATTTCACGTAAAACATGATGCCTACAACGAAATTTACCGAAATGAACTCCTTACGAAGATATTTAATGATTCTTGATGCGTGAATTCAAACCACCCGCTCGTGAAAACTCAATGCTATACGTGTTTCACATCGCGCGCTAAACGTTATCATGACAGTCTTTACGATATACAAATCTGGCGACCTCAATCTTGACACTTTGGCTCAGCTATAGCAAATTGCTTACAGTTTGAACAACACATGGTGGGAAATGAACATTACTCGATTGAGGAGCTTGTTGAAACCGTTGTAGTGCGCGATTTGACTCACGTAGACCTTTGAGTTTCTTGTCAGCGGGCATTTCAAATTCCTCGTGACCAATGTGACATAAAAACGTTAATATCTTCGTTAGGAGTTGGTTTAAGTCATTTTCGTTGCGCGAATCGTGTTTTGCGTGAAATTTTGGTTTAGAAACATGTATCAGAATGCTTAAGTTCGTACCTTGTCTAGTGGTCCATTATTGACTAAAACTGCAAATTTTGATCTTTATGGTGATTCGATGGAAGCTGCATTTTGTGTCAGAACGACGTGCAATATATCGCATCAATTAGTTCCATTTTTCAGCCACTCGTCGTTTTTCTCGAATTTTGAGATCGTAATTCTGTCGTCAGGAGTCTAAAGCATTCACTCACCAATTTTGACAAATAAATTCAACGTTATGAAGACGTGGTTTTTTTAGGGGAAAAATATCGCATTCGGTACTAATATCGAAACTCCATTCGAATGCGATATCTTTCCTCTGAAAAAACCACGTCTTTATTACGTTGAATTTATTTGTCAAAATTGGTAAGTGAATTCTGTAGTCTCCTGACAACAGAATGCGATCTCAAAATTCGGGAAAAACGACGAGTGGCTGAAAAACGGAACGAATCGATGCGATACATCGCATCTCGTTTTGACACAAAATATGGCGTCCATCGAATCACCGTATTTCGTCACAGTTTAAATTTTAAAGATTGCATCTTCAAGGAAATTTCACGAAAAAACCATTGGAACCACTTTTAGAGCCTTAAATTTTTGTTTTACCGGATTTATAAGCATTTAAAGTTTCCAAATTTTGTCTGACCTCTCCTATTGACTCGATCCACTGTGTACGGTTGAGCCCAGCGGCTTCTTGGCGCGGCGACCGGCGAGTGATGCTTAGATGTCGCGCCGCACAGTGAAACGAACCGTTAGAAGACTTAGGACAATACATTTTTGACTGAAATTGCTAATTTTTATGTGTATCCCGTTACAATTTTGATTGCCAGGGGTGCTTTTTAACATTGATTTCACGAAGAAACCAATGATTTCACTCGTAAACTTTTCCGAATCATTTTTTCGAAGATCTAAGCTTTCAAAGTTTCCGAATTTTGTCCAACTTCTCCCATTGACTCCAGTGGCGGATCCAGCAAATCGGCAACATTGTTTTTCTCCATTTAAACCGATGGAAATGTATCGATTATCGGAGGGGCCAGGTGCTCCGACAAGAATCGATTATTCAACATAAGTTTAAATGGAGGAAACCCGGTGTTGCCAAATTGCTGGATCCGCTTTTGATTGCGACTCGTTCCACTGTGTTCTGTATCATCTCGCGGGCATATGTCATTTCTGCGCTGCAAAAGTTTGCTGCGAAAATGGCAGTTTCGCCCGAGGAGGTTATTATACAGGGTGTCCCATGATCAAGTACGAATATTGAAGGAGTCGATGCTTTGGGTCAAAAAAAGACGTTTTTGTGGTATACATTTTTTTTTACAAAAATGCTTTTCCTGGGGGCCAACCCCCACCTCCTTTGCGCCCACCCGCGCTCCGTTCAGTCCAGTGGCGTGGCGTGAATTGCGATGTATCGATTGTCATGCCATTTAAACCTCTGGGAAAGGATCAATTAACAGGGTGTTCGCAGCGAACACCTAAATAATCGATTCTTTACCATAGATCTAAATGGCATAACAATCGATACATCGCAATTCACGCCACGCCACTGGTTCAGTCCCTATTATCTCGAAAACGATGAGTCATAGCGAAAAAACGTTAGACACATTTTCGTAATATTTTCTAAATCTAATGGTGCCGTCAAAAATCAATTTTTGTCGCTAAAAAAAAAACTTCGGCCTTTTTAGGTTCGATACCCCCTTAATCCCCCCCCCTCAAAATGAGATTTTCTCTTTTTTGTAGGTTAAAAATGAAAAGAACGATAAAAATTACTTCCCGTTACCAATTTTCATTAATATTGGTTGATAAACATTGCCGCAAAGTTAAAAAGACGATTTATTTTCTCCAACTTTGGGGGGGGGTAGGCGTGGCCTCGAGGGAAAGCGTTTTTGGAAAAAAGTGTTACCACAAAAACGTCTTTTTTTTACCCAAGAAATCGACTCCTTCAATATTCGTACTTAATCCCGGGACACCCTGCATAGGGTGTGATAAACTGTGAGTCTTGTGGGCCGATCTTTGAATCGGTTCCGAATGACCGACAATGAAGCAGAAAAATAGCAATGTTAAGATGGGCATTCATCGATTGAGGTTGTTTGATATGATTCAACAATCAAGGCGCCGTGATTCCAATCGCAACGCTTAGATGCAACTATTCGTGCTTCTTGGATGTCTCTGTTGCATACCCAAAAATTGAAGGCGCTGTGACTTTCTCAGTCGTAGCGCTTGGACACGACTATTCGATTCCTGACTTTGACGTCCGTATTGCATATCCAAAAAGTGAAGGCGCATTCACTTTCTCAGTCGAAAAGCCTGGATGTTACTATTCCTGCTTGTTGGATGTACCGACACCACTAATATGGTAATTATTACCATGGTTTTTTCTCAGCGCGGCAATTTAACATTGAGCGGCGGCGTCTCTCAATAAAATTTTCCGGTCAGCGGCTCTGAACCCATTGTCTCAAAACTTCATTTTTGCACTTACTGCTCTCCCCGCTATCATGACAGAGTAGGTACCGTGATTTTTTTAAAATGTCAAATCGTCATTTTCTCACACTGAACTGTCTGATTCTCACACGTATTCTGCCGTGCTAAGGTAAAACGCCGTATGAACATTCGAGAGTTGTCAAATTTCCCTCGATAAATTGTTTATTCTTTTGGAAAGCCATTGATATATTTTCTCGATTTTTCACTGAAAAAAATTCTTGTCGGTTTTACCAAAGTCCATTGGTACCTTTACCATCTCAATTTTTTTACCAATTATTGGTAATTTTACCAAGACAGACTGGTAAGCTTACCTAAAAACCGGTATTTTTACTGTTTTTTTTTCAGGTAAGAATACCACTTTTATTGGTAATCGATTCCCTGCTATTTTATCTCGGTAATTCTATACCACAGTCGATAAAAAATATTGGCGTTTTTACCAAGCTCCAGTAAAATTACCGAGAAAGTTCAATAATTTTACCGAGATTTCTCCGTAAAATTACCAATTCCATAAATGGTAATTTTACCAAGAAAAAATTGGGATCAAATAGAACCCTGAATTCTTGGCAATTTTACCCTTTTTTTAGTAAATACACCGATATTTTTTTTCAGTGTTTCAGGTGAAATTGCGAACAAAATCATCTGTTAAATCAGGAGAAGTTTTCTTGCACATTTTCCCGATAATTCGTGGTTTATCAAGGGAAATTTGGCAACTCCTGATGGTTCATATGGCGTTTTGCCTTAGCGCGGCAGTGTTCGTTTCGGAGTCAGCCTCCGCATTACTTCCGGTACAGAGGCGTGCCGTGAATTGAGATGTATCGATTGTTATGCCATTTAAACCTATGATAAAGAATCGATTATTAAGGTGTTCGCTGCGAACACCCTGTTTATCGATCCTTTTCCATAGGTTTAAATGGCATAACAATCGATATATCGCAAATCACGCCACGCCACTGTTCCGGTAGCGTTGATAAACATCATGGTCATCATTAAATTCAACTTGCTCATATTGATAGATTCTTACCCTCATCAGTCTCAGGTGGACGTATTTGTGCTAAAAGGAACTATTTTGCAGGCGAAACCTATGCAGATAGGTCTTTTTAGCATAAATACGTCCAGTTTTTTCTCTCTTTCAAGGCTTGATTTCTGCGGGTGCATGTGTGGCGACATAAGCGCGAGTGCGGGCATTGATACTATCAATGCCCGTGTCTATCAATTTGATAGACACGGCCCTGACGATTGACGCGGTATGGTAGGAGAGAGAAAATTATTTTTCAATCTGCTTGAAAAAACAAACCTAACTTTCTTGTCGAATTAAAGAGACAACATTCAAATGCAATGCTGTAAGCGCAGGAATTTTCTACTTTTTTAGGTATAATTTTTCTTTTTTAAAGGGGGATTTTCTCTCTCCCCCTCCTCCCATTCTCTGATATTTGATGTTCATTTCTGCTATTATTACATCCAAAGGAGGAGATTTTTTTAAATGTACATCGGATTTTTTTTTTTTCGGAATGAAAAAGGGGTAAATAGTGAAATAGGATTAGGTTTCCGGATAATGTCAAATGTTCGTGAAGATTTTAGTTTGAAGACTCAACTTTTTGGTCCCATCCAAAGATTATTGTCTAAACTACCGTGAAAAACTCTCTGAATTTTGGTTCTTTAATAAGCCGTAGGAAACTGAATAGTGAGAATATTCTATTTTTGACACTTATCCGGGTCAGGGCCGGATCTAGAGGATGGCCACATGGGCCGCGGCCCATGGCGGCAAATTTAGGGGGCGGCAAATTTTGCAATTTTTTTAAATATAGGTATAAAAAAATCCGATCCAGAAAAAAATTACAAACGAGAAAATGTGACAAAATCTCTCATTTCCTGAGAGTATAGTAATTTCTCATTTTGTCATCT